CCCAATCCTATCCTATACATATCCCTTTCCTGTTCTATTTCTGTTCTATTCTACTCTACTCTATTCCTATTCTATTTCTATTCTTTCTATTTCTTATTCTATTCCTATTCCTATTCTTTATTTCTATTCTTTCTATTTCTATTCTATTCCCTATTCTATTCTATCCCCTATTCCTATTCTATTTCTATTCTTTCTATTTCTTTTTCTATTCTATTCCCTATTCTATTCCCTATTCTATTCTACTCTACTCTATTCCTATCTTATTCTATTCCCAATCCTATCCTATACATATCCCTTTCCTGTTCTATTTCTGTTCTATTCTACTCTACTCTATTCCTATTCTATTTCTATTCTTTCTATTTCTTTTTCTATTCTATTCCCTATTCTATTCCCTATTCTATTCTACTCTACTCTATTCCTATTCTATTCTATTCCCAATCCTATCCTATACATATCCCTTTCCTGTTCTATTTCTGTTCTATTCTACTCTACTCTATTCCTATTCTATTTCTATTCTTTCTATTTCTTATTCTATTCCCTATTCTATTCTATTTTACTCTACTCTATTCTATTACCTATTACCTATTTCTGTTCTATTCTACTCTACTCTGTTCCTATTCTATTCTATTCCCTATTCTATCCTATCCCCATCCTTTTCCTGTTCTTTCTATTTCTAGTTCTATTCTATTCTATTCTATTCTATTATGTCTAGCCTACATTCTATTCTATTCTATTATTATTCTACTCTACTCTATTCTATTCTATTCTTATTCTACTCTACTCTACTCTACTCTATTCTATTCTATTCAAAGAAGTCTGGCCACATGCACACAGGGGCACACACGTGTGTCCTTCTCCGTGCCAACCAGAGAAGTTTCTCCCTGCCTGGGCTCAGAGATGAAGATGTCGTCGGTGACCTCCTGCCAATCTCCCGGAGCCCATGGTTGGCACAGGATCCTGACAAGCATACCTGGCAGGACGGACTGCCCTTCCCTCTCGCCTGTCCCAGCGGCCCAGTCCGCTGGATGGAATTACAGCCGCATGGCCTCGGCACAAGCCGTCTAATTTGCAGCAAAGCTGCCCTGGCAGGCTCTCCTGGACCCGAGTGGCACTCCGTTTTCAAAGCCCTTTCTGTCCCTCTCTCTTCTTCTTCTTCCTCCTGCCTGCCTGCCCTGGAGTGAGATTCCTTTGGCTAGGAGGAAAGCCCCCCAGCAGCTTCATCAGGACTAGTGGCTTGAGGGCAGAGAGATTTACAGCCGGGATTCCACAGGGCTGATTGGCGGATAAGTTGGATATGTGCCTTTGCCTTTCCTGGGAAGCGGGATTTCCTTGGCTCGGCTTGAGTCCCCTGAAGTGTTTACGAAAATGGTCTCTGAACGGCAGAATGCGCAGAAGGATATTTCTGCGCATTTTGCTCTGGGGGAAGCTGTGGGGCTCCGTCTGCACACAGGAGGAGACCACAGCTCTGGAGGAACTTTTCCAATGTGACTTCCTTTCTTTCCTTTTCCCTTCCTTCCTTCCTTCTTCCATTCCCTCCTTTTTCCTTCCTCTCTTCCAACCACCAAAGTATTCGTCTCTCCTTTTCCTCCTTCCCTTTCTCTCTTCCTTCTCCTTCCTCCCTTCCTTTTCCTTCTTTCTTTCTTCCCTCCCCATCCCTTCCTCCCTATCCCTTCCTTTCCTTCCCTCCTTTCCTTCCTCCCTTCCAACTACCCAACTATTCTTCTCTCATCTCTCCCTTTCCTCCTTCCCTTTCTCTCTTCCTTCTCCTTCTTTCCTTTTTCTTCTTCCTTCCCTCCCTCCCCCATCCCTCCTTCCCTTCCGTTTCCTTCGTTCCTTCCTCCCTTCCATCCACTTAACTATTCTTCTCTCATCTCTCCCTTTCCTGTTTCCCTTTCCCTCTTCCTTCTCCTCCCTTCCTCCCTTTTCCTTCCTTCTTTCCTTCCTTCCTCCCTTCCTTTTTCCTTCCTCCCTTCCATCCACCCAACTATTCTTCTCTCATCTCTCCCTTTCCTCCTTCCCTTTCCCTCTTCATTCTCCTCCCTTTTTCCTTCCTTCCTTCCTTCCTTCCTTCCTTTCTTTCCTTCCTCCCTCCCTCCCTTCCAACCACCCAAGTATTCTTCTCTCATCTCTCCCTTTCCTCCTTTCCTTTCCCTCTTCATTCTCCTCCCTTTTTCCTTCCTTCCTTCCTTCCTTTCTTTCCTTCCTCCCTCCCTCCCTCCCTTCCAACCACCCAAGTATTCTTCTCTCATCTCTCCCTTTCCTCCTTCCCTTTCTCTCTTCCTTCTCTTTCCTCCCTCCCTCCTTCCCTTCCTTCCTTCTTTCCTTCCTTCCCCATCCCTCCCTCCTTCCCTTCTCTTTCCTTCCTTCCTGGCAATTCTCCAAGCCAGATAAGATCTGTGACTGTAAATCCCCCTTTCGCTGGATGCAAATGAGCAGAATTCACAGCAAATTAATAAAAAAGGGTTTTTGTCAGGACAAGGAGTTGGCTTCAGGCTCTTAGGAAGCCTCGGTCAGAACGGTTCCACCACAAAAGCGCGTAGGACAAAATCGCGCTCGACAAAAGCGCGCTGTGACGTCATCACAGCGCGACGAAAAAGTTCGAAAAAATGTAAAAATAAAGCTAAAACCTTCCCCTAACCCCCCCAAACCTAACCCTAAACCTAACCCTAAAC